GGACCCCCAAATCCCACCTGGGACCCCCAAATCCCACCTGGGGACCCCCAAATCCCACCTGGGACCCCCAAATCCCACCTGGGACCCCGACTGGAGCACCCAAATCCCACCTGGGACCCCAAATCCACCCAGAGCGCCTCAGGGACCCTGACCGGACCCCAAATCCCACCTGGGACCCCAAATCCCACCTGGGACCCCAAATCCCACCTGGGACCCCCAAATCCACCCAGAGCGCCTCAGGGACCCCGAGCGGACCCAGATCCCACCTGGGACCCCAAATCCCACCTGGGACCCCAAATCCCACCTGGGACCCCGACTGGAACACCCAAATCCCACCTGGGACCCCAAATCCCACCTGGGGACCCCGACCGGACCCCCCAATCCCACCTGGGACCCCAAATCCCACCTGGGACCCCAAATCCCACCTGGGACCCCGAGCGGACCCAGATCCCACCTGGGACCCCAAATCCCACCTGGGACCCCAAATCCCACCTGGGACCCCCAAATCCACCCAGAGCGCCTCAGGGATCCCGACCGGACCCCAGATCCCACCTGGGACCCCAAATCCCACCTGGGACCCCCAAATCCCACCTGGGACCCCCAAATCCCACCTGGGGACCCCCAAATCCCACCTGGGACCCCGAGCGGACCCCAGATCCCACCTGGGACCCCGACTGGAACCCCAAATCCCACCTGGGACCCCGACTGGAACCCCAAATCCCACCTGGGGACCCCCAAATCCCACCTGGGACCCCGAGCGGACCCCAGATCCCACCTGGGACCCCCAAATCCCACCTGGGACCCCAAATCCCACCTGGGACCCCCAAATCCACCCAGAGCGCCTCAGGGATCCCGACCGGACCCCCAATCCCACCTGGGACCCCAAATCCCACCTGGGACCCCCAAATCCACCCAGAGCGCCTCAGGGACCCCGACCGGACCCCAAATCCCACCTGGGACCCCAAATCCCACCTGGGGACCCCCCAATCCACCCAGAGCGCCTCAGGGACCCCGAGCGGACCCAGATCCCACCTGGGACCCCAAATCCCACCTGGGACCCCGACTGGAACACCCAAATCCCACCTGGGACCCCCAAATCCACCCAGAGCGCCTCAGGGACCCCGAGCGGACCCCAGATCCCACCTGGGACCCCCAAATCCACCCAGAGCGCCTCAGGGACCCCGAGCGGACCCAAATCCCACCTGGGACCCCAACCGGACCCCAAATCCCACCTGGGGACCCCCAAATCCCACCTGGGACCCCGACTGGAACACCCAAATCCACCCAGAGCGCCTCAGGGACCCCGAGCGGACCCAAATCCCACCTGGGACCCCAAATCCCACCTGGGACCCCAAATCCACCCAGAGCGCCTCAGGGACCCCGAGCAGACCCAAATCCCACCTGGGACCCCCAAATCCACCCAGAGCGCCTCAGGGACCCTGAGCGGACCCCAGATCCCACCTGGGACCCCAAATCCCACCTGGGACCCCCAAATCCCACCTGGGACCCCAAATCCACCCAGAGCGCCTCAGGGACCCCGAGCGGACCCAAATCCCACCTGGGACCCCAAATCCCACCTGGGGACCCCCCAATCCACCCAGAGCGCCTCAGGGACCCCGACCGGACCCCAAATCCCACCTGGGACCCCGACTGGAACACCCAAATCCACCCAGAGCGCCTCAGGGACCCCGACCGGACCCCAAATCCCACCTGGGACCCCAAATCCCACCTGGAACCCCGACTGGAACACCCAAATCCCACCTGGGACCCCAAATCCCACCTGGAACCCCCACATCCCCTCAGGAACACACTCAGGAACCCTAGATCCACTCGGGAACCCCAACTGGAACCCCCAAATCCCAACTGGAACCCTCAAATCCACTCTGGAATCCCACCTGGAACCCCCAGATCCCAACTGGAACCCTCAGATCTCACCCAGAACTCCAGATCCCACCTGGAACCTCCAAACCCCCCCAGATCCCACCTGGAACCTCCAACCCCCCCCAGATCCCACCTGGAACCTCCAAACCCCCCCAGATCCCACCTGGAACCTCCAAACCCCCCCGGAAGCCCCGATGGCCCGGGTGGGGTGGACCTCCCGCCGCGGCCGGCCCGGACTGACCGTCAGCCTCCTCTTGACGTAGCGGATGACCAGGAAGGTGTCGTGGTTGAGGTTGCGCACCATGGCGGAGCAGCCGCCCAGCTCGGTGGGGCGCCCGTCGCGGTCGTGGTCGTAGGTCAGCGAGCCGTTGTTCACCATGGCCGAGATGTAGGGGAAGACGCGCTGCCCGCGGGGGAAAAACGGGATTTGGGATCCAGGAGGTGGGGTGGGACCGCGGGGAGACGGCGGGGAGGAGAGGTGGGGTCCTCCACCCCACAGGGATCTGCTCAGCACAGCACGGGAACGATCCCAAAATTCTCCAAACAACACGGGAACGATCCCAAAGTCCTCCACCCCACAGGGATCTGCTCAGAACAACATGGGAACGATCCCAAAGTCCTTCAACCAACATGGGAACAATCCCAAAGTTCTCCAACCGACACAGGAACGATCCAACCAACATGGGAATGATCCCAATCTTCTCCAACCAACATGGG